TGCAATTTGTCACTAAGTTCAGAAATATGATAAAGTTCATTTGATACTGATAGAAAAATATGGAATTTAGCTGTTGTTTTTATTAATGGCTAAAATTGTGATGAAACTTTTTTTTTACCGGTTGTGTTGAGCTTTAAAATTATATGTAAATCTGTACTAAATTACAAAGCTGTCAACATAAAATCGAGAAAAAACTTCATATTTGATTTGTGGTAGTTTTAAATAATAAGTATACAGATTTGTGGTTGCACCATGTTAATGGCGTTGGTAGTCGGGGTTATTGGGTTTGAGTGATAATGGAGGAGTGTAAAAGAATGGCGAGGAGGAAGAACTTCTACGTAAATGTTTAACTTCAACCTTAAATAGTTTATGAACATAAAAAAACTAGGTCAAACACTACACGAGTGTTATAACTCTTCAACTGGTCTATCTAAAGAGCGAGTTAAAGAAGATAATTATGTATATAAATCAATGAGTTGGTATGTGTTGTGCTAGGAAAGGGTGGAGTCACTCACGACATGTTGGATGACATCCATAACCACTTGGAAGAAGGTTTGAAGCTTGTGAGAATTAAGTGCTTGGGTGTGCCAACCCTCGACATGGACCATGTTTGCTTCCACCTTGAGGTCCATCTGAGTTGAAAAGTTCATAATGCAATTTGTCACTAAGTTCAGAAATATGATAAAGTTCATTTGATACTGATAGAAAAATATGGAATTTAGCATGTTGTTTTTATTAATGGCTAAAATTGTGATGAAACTTTTTTTTTTTACGGTTGTGTTGAGCTTTAAAATTATATGTAAATGCGTACTAAATTACAAAGGCTATCGACATAAAATCCAGAAAAAAACTTCATATTTGATTTGTGGTAGTTTTAAATAATAAGTATACCGATTTGTGGTTGCACCATGTTAATGACGTTGGTAGTCGGGGTTATTGGGTTTGAGTGATAATGGAGGAGTGTAAAAGAATGGCGAGGAGGAAGAACTTCTACGTAAATGTTTAACTTCAACCTTAAATAGTTTATGAACATAAAAAAACTAGGTCAAACACTACCGAGTGTTATAACTCTTCATCTGGTCTATCTAAAGAGCGGTTAAAGAAGATAATTATGTATATAAATCAATGAGTTGGTATGTGTTGTGCTAGGAAAGGGTGGAGTCACTCACGACATGTTGGATGACATCCATAACCACTGGAAGAAGGCTGAAGCTGTGAGAATTAAGTGCTTGGGTGTGCCAACCCTCGACATGGACCATGTTTGCTTCCACCTTGAGGTCCATACTGAGTTGAAAAGTTCATAATGCAATTTGTCACTAAGTTCAGAAATATGATAAAGTTCATTTGATACTTGATAGAAAAATATGGAATTTAGCTTGTTGTTTTTATTAATGGCTAAAATTGTGATGAAACTTTTTTTACGGTTGTGTTGAGCTTTAAAATTATATGTAAATCTGTACTAAATTACAAAGTCTATCAACATAAAATCGAGAAAAAAACTTCATATTTGATTTGTGGTAGTTTTAAATAATAAGTATACAGATTTGTGGTTGCACCATGTTAATGGCGTTGGTAGTCGGGGTTATTGGGTTTGAGTGATAATGGAGGAGTGTAAAAGAATGACGAGGAGGAAGAACTTCTACGTAAATGTTTAACTTCAACCTTAAATAGTTTATGAACATAAAAAAACTAGGTCAAACACTACACGAGTGTTATAACTCTTCATCTGGTCTATCTAAAGAGCGAGTTAAAGAAGATAATTATGTATATAAATCAATGAGTTGGTATGTGTTGTGCTAGGAAAGGGTGGAGTCACTCACAACATGTTGGATGACATCCATAACCACTTGGAAGAAGGCTGAAAGCTTGTGAGAATTAAGTGCTTGGGTGTGCCAACCCTCGACATGGACCATGTTTGCTTCCACCTTGAGGTCCATACTTGAGTTGAAAAGTTCATAATGCAATTTGTCACTAAGTTCAGAAATATGATAAAGTTCATTTGATACTGATAGAAAAATATGGAATTTAGTCTGTTGTTTTTATTAATGGCTAAAATTGTGATGAAACTTTTTTTTTACCGGTTGTGTTGAGCTTTAAAATTATATGTAAATCTGTACTAAATTACAAAGCCATCAACATAAAATCCAGAAAAAAACTTCATATTTGATTTGTGGTAGTTTTAAATAATAAGTATACCAGATTTGTGGTTGCACCATGTTAATGACGTTGGTAGTCGGGGTTATTGGGTTTGAGTGATAATGGAGGAGTGTAAAAGAATGACGAGGAGGAAGAACTTCTACGTAAATGTTTAACTTCAACCTTAAATAGTTTATGAACATAAAAAAACTAGGTCAAACACTACACTGAGTGTTATAACTCTTCACTTGGTCTATCTAAAGAGCAGTTAAAGAAGATAATTATGTATATAAATCAATGAGTTGGTATGTGTTGTGCTAGGAAAGGGTGGAGTCACTCACAACATGTTGGATGACATCCATAACCACTTGGAAGAAGGTTGAAGCTGTGAGAATTAAGTGCTTGGGTGTGCCAACCCTCGACATGGACCATGTTTGCTTCCACCTTGAGGTCCATGCGAGTTGAAAAGTTCATAATGCAATTTGTCACTAAGTTCGAGAAATATGATAAAGTTCATTTGATACTGATAGAAAAATATGGAATTTAGCTTGTTGTTTTTATTAATGGCTAAAATTGTGATGAAACTTTTTTTTTATCGGTTGTGTTGAGCTTTAAAATTATATGTAAATCTGTACTAAATTACAAAGCCTGTCAACATAAAATCCAGAAAAAAACTTCATATTTGATTTGTGGTAGTTTTAAATAATAAGTATACCAGATTTGTGGTTGCACCATGTTAATGACGTTGGTAGTCAGGGTTATTGGGTTTGAGTGATAATGGAGGAGTGTAAAAGAATGACGAGGAGGAAGAACTTCTACGTAAATGTTTAACTTCAACCTTAAATAGTTTATGAACATAAAAAAACTAGGTCAAACACTACACGAGTGTTATAACTCTTCACTGGTCTATCTAAAGAGCAGTTAAAGAAGATAATTATGTATATAAATCAATGAGTTGGTATGTGTTGTGCTAGGAAAGGGTGGAGTCACTCACGACATGTTGGATGACATCCATAACCACTTGGAAGAAGGCTGAAGCTGTGAGAATTAAGTGCTTGGGTGTGCCAACCCTCGACATGGACCATGTTTGCTTCCACCTTGAGGTCCATGCTGAGTTGAAAAGTTCATAATGCAATTTGTCACTAAGTTCAGAAATATGATAAAGTTCATTTGATGCTGATAGAAAAATATGGAATTTAGCTGTTGTTTTTATTAATGGCTAAAATTGTGATGAAACTTTTTTTTTACGGTTGTGTTGAGCTTTAAAATTATATGTAAATCTGTACTAAATTACAAAGTCTATCGACATAAAATCCGAAAAAAACTTCATATTTGATTTGTGGTAGTTTTAAATAATAAGTATACCAGATTTGTGGTTGCACCATGTTAATGACGTTGGTAGTCGGGGTTATTGGGTTTGAGTGATAATGGAGGAGTGTAAAAGAATGACGAGGAGGAAGAACTTCTACGTAAATGTTTAACTTCAACCTTAAATAGTTTATGAACATAAAAAAACTAGGTCAAACACTACACGAGTGTTATAACTCTTCAGCTGGTCTATCTAAAGAGCGAGTTAAAGAAGATAATTATGTATATAAATCAATGAGTTGGTATGTGTTGTGCTAGGAAAGGGTGGAGTCACTCACGACATGTTGGATGACATCCATAACCACTTGGAAGAAGGTGGAAGCTTGTGAGAATTAAGTGCTTGGGTGTGCCAACCCTCGACATGGACCATGTTTGCTTCCACCTTGAGGTCCATGCGAGTTGAAAAGTTCATAATGCAATTTGTCACTAAGTTCAGAAATATGATAAAGTTCATTTGATACTTGATAGAAAAATATGGAATTTAGGCTTGTTGTTTTTATTAATGGCTAAAATTGTGATGAAACTTTTTTTTTACCGGTTGTGTTGAGCTTTAAAATTATATGTAAATGCTGTACTAAATTACAAAGGCACATCGAACATAAAATCCAGAAAAAACTTCATATTTGATTTGTGGTAGTTTTAAATAATAAGTATACCAGATTTGTGGTTGCACCATGTTAATGACGTTGGTAGTCGGGGTTATTGGGTTTGAGTGATAATGGAGGAGTGTAAAAGAATGACGAGGAGGAAGAACTTCTACGTAAATGTTTAACTTCAACCTTAAATAGTTTATGAACATAAAAAAACTAGGTCAAACACTACCGAGTGTTATAACTCTTCATCTGGTCTATCTAAAGAAGCAGTTAAAGAAGATAATTATGTATATAAATCAATGAGTTGGTATGTGTTGTGCTAGGAAAGGGTGGAGTCACTCACAACATGTTGGATGACATCCATAACCACTGGAAGAAGAGACTGAAGCTTGTGAGAATTAAGTGCTTGGGTGTGCCAACCCTCGACATGGACCATGTTTGCTTCCACCTTGAGGTCCATGCTGAGTTGAAAAGTTCATAATGCAATTTGTCACTAAGTTCGAAATATGATAAAGTTCATTTGATACTTGATAGAAAAATATGGAATTTAGGCTGTTGTTTTTATTAATGGCTAAAATTGTGATGAAACTTTTTTTTTTACCGGTTGTGTTGAGCTTTAAAATTATATGTAAATCTGTACTAAATTACAAAGTCTGTCGACATAAAATCCAGAAAAAAACTTCATATTTGATTTGTGGTAGTTTTAAATAATAAGTATACCAGATTTGTGGTTGCACCATGTTAATGACGTTGGTAGTCAGGGTTATTGGGTTTGAGTGATAATGGAGGAGTGTAAAAGAATGACGAGGAGGAAGAACTTCTACGTAAATGTTTAACTTCAACCTTAAATAGTTTATGAACATAAAAAAACTAGGTCAAACACTACCGAGTGTTATAACTCTTCATCTGGTCTATCTAAAGAGCGATTAAAGAAGATAATTATGTATATAAATCAATGAGTTGGTATGTGTTGTGCTAGGAAAGGGTGGAGTCACTCACAACATGTTGGATGACATCCATAACCACTTGGAAGAAGAGTTTGAAGCTGTGAGAATTAAGTGCTTGGGTGTGCCAACCCTCGACATGGACCATGTTTGCTTCCACCTTGAGGTCCATGCTGAGTTGAAAAGTTCATAATGCAATTTGTCACTAAGTTCGAAATATGATAAAGTTCATTTGATCTCGATAGAAAAATATGGAATTTAGCTGTTGTTTTTATTAATGGCTAAAATTGTGATGAAACTTTTTTTTCTAGGTTGTGTTGAGCTTTAAAATTATATGTAAATCTGTACTAAATTACAAAGCCATCAACATAAAATCCGAGAAAAAACTTCATATTTGATTTGTGGTAGTTTTAAATAATAAGTATACCGAGTTTGTGGTTGCACCATGTTAATGACGTTGGTAGTCGGGGTTATTGGGTTTGAGTGATAATGGAGGAGTGTAAAAGAATGACGAGGAGGAAGAACTTCTACGTAAATGTTTAACTTCAACCTTAAATAGTTTATGAACATAAAAAAACTAGGTCAAACACTACCTGAGTGTTATAACTCTTCACTGGTCTATCTAAAGAGCGAGTTAAAGAAGATAATTATGTATATAAATCAATGAGTTGGTATGTGTTGTGCTAGGAAAGGGTGGAGTCACTCACGACATGTTGGATGACATCCATAACCACTTGGAAGAAGGCTTGAAAGCTTGTGAGAATTAAGTGCTTGGGTGTGCCAACCCTCGACATGGACCATGTTTGCTTCCACCTTGAGGTCCATGCTGAGTTGAAAAGTTCATAATGCAATTTGTCACTAAGTTCGAAATATGATAAAGTTCATTTGATACTGATAGAAAAATATGGAATTTAGCTGTTGTTTTTATTAATGGCTAAAATTGTGATGAAACTTTTTTTTTACCGGTTGTGTTGAGCTTTAAAATTATATGTAAATCATGTACTAAATTACAAAGCTGTCGACATAAAATCCAGAAAAAAACTTCATATTTGATTTGTGGTAGTTTTAAATAATAAGTATACTAGATTTGTGGTTGCACCATGTTAATGACGTTGGTAGTCGGGGTTATTGGGTTTGAGTGATAATGGAGGAGTGTAAAAGAATGACGAGGAGGAAGAACTTCTACGTAAATGTTTAACTTCAACCTTAAATAGTTTATGAACATAAAAAAACTAGGTCAAACACTACCTGAGTGTTATAACTCTTCACCTGGTCTATCTAAAGAGCGAGTTAAAGAAGATAATTATGTATATAAATCAATGAGTTGGTATGTGTTGTGCTAGGAAAGGGTGGAGTCACTCACAACATGTTGGATGACATCCATAACCACTGGAAGAAGGCTGAAGCTGTGAGAATTAAGTGCTTGGGTGTGCCAACCCTCGACATGGACCATGTTTGCTTCCACCTTGAGGTCCATACTGAGTTGAAAAGTTCATAATGCAATTTGTCACTAAGTTCAGAAATATGATAAAGTTCATTTGATACTGATAGAAAAATATGGAATTTAGCTGTTGTTTTTATTAATGGCTAAAATTGTGATGAAACTTTTTTTTTTACCGGTTGTGTTGAGCTTTAAAATTATATGTAAATCTGTACTAAATTACAAAGTCTGTCAACATAAAATCCGAAAAAAACTTCATATTTGATTTGTGGTAGTTTTAAATAATAAGTATACCAGATTTGTGGTTGCACCATGTTAATGACGTTGGTAGTCAGGGTTATTGGGTTTGAGTGATAATGGAGGAGTGTAAAAGAATGACGAGGAGGAAGAACTTCTACGTAAATGTTTAACTTCAACCTTAAATAGTTTATGAACATAAAAAAACTAGGTCAAACACTACCTGAGTGTTATAACTCTTCACTGGTCTATCTAAAGAGCAGTTAAAGAAGATAATTATGTATATAAATCAATGAGTTGGTATGTGTTGTGCTAGGAAAGGGTGGAGTCACTCACAACATGTTGGATGACATCCATAACCACTGGAAGAAGGTCGAAGCTGTGAGAATTAAGTGCTTGGGTGTGCCAACCCTCGACATGGACCATGTTTGCTTCCACCTTGAGGTCCATACTGAGTTGAAAAGTTCATAATGCAATTTGTCACTAAGTTCGAAATATGATAAAGTTCATTTGATACTGATAGAAAAATATGGAATTTAGTTGTTGTTTTTATTAATGGCTAAAATTGTGATGAAACTTTTTTTTTTACCGGTTGTGTTGAGCTTTAAAATTATATGTAAATCTGTACTAAATTACAAAGCCATCAACATAAAATCCAGAAAAAAACTTCATATTTGATTTGTGGTAGTTTTAAATAATAAGTATACAGATTTGTGGTTGCACCATGTTAATGACGTTGGTAGTCGGGGTTATTGGGTTTGAGTGATAATGGAGGAGTGTAAAAGAATGACGAGGAGGAAGAACTTCTACGTAAATGTTTAACTTCAACCTTAAATAGTTTATGAACATAAAAAAACTAGGTCAAACACTACCCGAGTGTTATAACTCTTCAACTGGTCTATCTAAAGAGCAGTTAAAGAAGATAATTATGTATATAAATCAATGAGTTGGTATGTGTTGTGCTAGGAAAGGGTGGAGTCACTCACAACATGTTGGATGACATCCATAACCACTGGAAGAAGGCTGAAGCTGTGAGAATTAAGTGCTTGGGTGTGCCAACCCTCGACATGGACCATGTTTGCTTCCACCTTGAGGTCCATACTGAGTTGAAAAGTTCATAATGCAATTTGTCACTAAGTTCGAAATATGATAAAGTTCATTTGATACTCGATAGAAAAATATGGAATTTAGCTGTTGTTTTTATTAATGGCTAAAATTGTGATGAAACTTTTTTTTTTACCGGTTGTGTTGAGCTTTAAAATTATATGTAAATCTGTACTAAATTACAAAGCTGTCAACATAAAATCCAGAAAAAAACTTCATATTTGATTTGTGGTAGTTTTAAATAATAAGTATACCAGATTTGTGGTTGCACCATGTTAATGACGTTGGTAGTCAGGGTTATTGGGTTTGAGTGATAATGGAGGAGTGTAAAAGAATGACGAGGAGGAAGAACTTCTACGTAAATGTTTAACTTCAACCTTAAATAGTTTATGAACATAAAAAAACTAGGTCAAACACTACTCGAGTGTTATAACTCTTCACCTGGTCTATCTAAAGAGCAGTTAAAGAAGATAATTATGTATATAAATCAATGAGTTGGTATGTGTTGTGCTAGGAAAGGGTGGAGTCACTCACAACATGTTGGATGACATCCATAACCACTTGGAAGAAGGCTGAAGCTTGTGAGAATTAAGTGCTTGGGTGTGCCAACCCTCGACATGGACCATGTTTGCTTCCACCTTGAGGTCCATACTGAGTTGAAAAGTTCATAATGCAATTTGTCACTAAGTTCGAAATATGATAAAGTTCATTTGATACTGATAGAAAAATATGGAATTTAGTCATTGTTTTTATTAATGGCTAAAATTGTGATGAAACTTTTTTTTTTACGGTTGTGTTGAGCTTTAAAATTATATGTAAATCTGTACTAAATTACAAAGTCTATCAACATAAAATCCAGAAAAAAACTTCATATTTGATTTGTGGTAGTTTTAAATAATAAGTATACCGATTTGTGGTTGCACCATGTTAATGACGTTGGTAGTCAGGGTTATTGGGTTTGAGTGATAATGGAGGAGTGTAAAAGAATGACGAGGAGGAAGAACTTCTACGTAAATGTTTAACTTCAACCTTAAATAGTTTATGAACATAAAAAAACTAGGTCAAACACTACCCGAGTGTTATAACTCTTCACTGGTCTATCTAAAGAGCGGTTAAAGAAGATAATTATGTATATAAATCAATGAGTTGGTATGTGTTGTGCTAGGAAAGGGTGGAGTCACTCACAACATGTTGGATGACATCCATAACCACTTGGAAGAAGGCTCGAAGCTGTGAGAATTAAGTGCTTGGGTGTGCCAACCCTCGACATGGACCATGTTTGCTTCCACCTTGAGGTCCATACTCGAGTTGAAAAGTTCATAATGCAATTTGTCACTAAGTTCGAGAAATATGATAAAGTTCATTTGATACTGATAGAAAAATATGGAATTTAGGCTGTTGTTTTTATTAATGGCTAAAATTGTGATGAAACTTTTTTTTTTACCGGTTGTGTTGAGCTTTAAAATTATATGTAAATCTGTACTAAATTACAAAGTCATCAACATAAAATCCAGAAAAAAACTTCATATTTGATTTGTGGTAGTTTTAAATAATAAGTATACCAGATTTGTGGTTGCACCATGTTAATGACGTTGGTAGTCAGGGTTATTGGGTTTGAGTGATAATGGAGGAGTGTAAAAGAATGACGAGGAGGAAGAACTTCTACGTAAATGTTTAACTTCAACCTTAAATAGTTTATGAACATAAAAAAACTAGGTCAAACACTACCTCGAGTGTTATAACTCTTCATCTGGTCTATCTAAAGAGCGGTTAAAGAAGATAATTATGTATATAAATCAATGAGTTGGTATGTGTTGTGCTAGGAAAGGGTGGAGTCACTCACGACATGTTGGATGACATCCATAACCACCGGAAGAAGGTTGAAGCTGTGAGAATTAAGTGCTTGGGTGTGCCAACCCTCGACATGGACCATGTTTGCTTCCACCTTGAGGTCCATGCTGAGTTGAAAAGTTCATAATGCAATTTGTCACTAAGTTCAGAAATATGATAAAGTTCATTTGATACTTGATAGAAAAATATGGAATTTAGTTGTTGTTTTTATTAATGGCTAAAATTGTGATGAAACTTTTTTTTATCCGGTTGTGTTGAGCTTTAAAATTATATGTAAATGCTGTACTAAATTACAAAGCTCGTCAACATAAAATCCAGAAAAAAACTTCATATTTGATTTGTGGTAGTTTTAAATAATAAGTATACAGATTTGTGGTTGCACCATGTTAATGACGTTGGTAGTCGGGGTTATTGGGTTTGAGTGATAATGGAGGAGTGTAAAAGAATGACGAGGAGGAAGAACTTCTACGTAAATGTTTAACTTCAACCTTAAATAGTTTATGAACATAAAAAAACTAGGTCAAACACTACCTGAGTGTTATAACTCTTCACTGGTCTATCTAAAGAGCGGTTAAAGAAGATAATTATGTATATAAATCAATGAGTTGGTATGTGTTGTGCTAGGAAAGGGTGGAGTCACTCACAACATGTTGGATGACATCCATAACCACTGGAAGAAGGCTTGAAGCTGTGAGAATTAAGTGCTTGGGTGTGCCAACCCTCGACATGGACCATGTTTGCTTCCACCTTGAGGTCCATACTTGAGTTGAAAAGTTCATAATGCAATTTGTCACTAAGTTCAGAAATATGATAAAGTTCATTTGATACTCGATAGAAAAATATGGAATTTAGCTTGTTGTTTTTATTAATGGCTAAAATTGTGATGAAACTTTTTTTTTTACCGGTTGTGTTGAGCTTTAAAATTATATGTAAATCTGTACTAAATTACAAAGCTCATCAACATAAAATCCAGAAAAAACTTCATATTTGATTTGTGGTAGTTTTAAATAATAAGTATACCAGATTTGTGGTTGCACCATGTTAATGACGTTGGTAGTCGGGGTTATTGGGTTTGAGTGATAATGGAGGAGTGTAAAAGAATGACGAGGAGGAAGAACTTCTACGTAAATGTTTAACTTCAACCTTAAATAGTTTATGAACATAAAAAAACTAGGTCAAACACTACTCGAGTGTTATAACTCTTCACTGGTCTATCTAAAGAGCGAGTTAAAGAAGATAATTATGTATATAAATCAATGAGTTGGTATGTGTTGTGCTAGGAAAGGGTGGAGTCACTCACAACATGTTGGATGACATCCATAACCATTGGAAGAAGGTCTGAAGCTTGTGAGAATTAAGTGCTTGGGTGTGCCAACCCTCGACATGGACCATGTTTGCTTCCACCTTGAGGTCCATACTGAGTTGAAAAGTTCATAATGCAATTTGTCACTAAGTTCAGAAATATGATAAAGTTCATTTGATACTGATAGAAAAATATGGAATTTAGCTGTTGTTTTTATTAATGGCTAAAATTGTGATGAAACTTTTTTTTTTTACCGGTTGTGTTGAGCTTTAAAATTATATGTAAATCTGTACTAAATTACAAAGCTGTCAACATAAAATCCAGAAAAAAACTTCATATTTGATTTGTGGTAGTTTTAAATAATAAGTATACCAGATTTGTGGTTGCACCATGTTAATGACGTTGGTAGTCAGGGTTATTGGGTTTGAGTGATAATGGAGGAGTGTAAAAGAATGACGAGGAGGAAGAACTTCTACGTAAATGTTTAACTTCAACCTTAAATAGTTTATGAACATAAAAAAACTAGGTCAAACACTACCTGAGTGTTATAACTCTTCACTGGTCTATCTAAAGAGCAGTTAAAGAAGATAATTATGTATATAAATCAATGAGTTGGTATGTGTTGTGCTAGGAAAGGGTGGAGTCACTCACAACATGTTGGATGACATCCATAACCACTGGAAGAAGGCTGAAGCTGTGAGAATTAAGTGCTTGGGTGTGCCAACCCTCGACATGGACCATGTTTGCTTCCACCTTGAGGTCCATATTGTTGTTTTGCACCTTTAATGGATTGATCATTCTTCAGACTCTCTGAATGCATTTCTTTTCCCCTGACGTGTGTATTGCTGTTTCCACAGGACAAGTCATATGGGAAAGTTATCTACTGCAACATTAATATACTGCTTCTGTACAGAGGACGAAATTATGATCCCAAAAACCGTCCAGTTATTCCTCTCATGCTGTGGAAGCCTTATGCACCAATATAGCCTAAGCTTGTGAAGAATGTAAACGAGGGTTTGACATATGAGGAAACAAAAGAAATGAGAAACATCGTATTGAACTCAGATCCTCTCATGAAACTCAGTAAGTGAATTTGGGTAGTAGGGCTCACCACAGATTGCGTTTTGGTCCTAATCAGCTTAAAGTAGCATTGGTTGGTACATATGCTAATTTGTGATTTCAATATTCAGCTAGAAATGGTGTGTATGTGAATGTGGTGGAGAGGTTGAGGGAGGCTTTTAAGACTCAGGAGGTTGTTAGACTGGACTGCACCCATGTGGGAACCAGTGACTGCAAAAAGATTGGAGTGAAGCTAAGGGTATGTCTAATGTCTAATTGTCTATAGAATCATTATAAAATTCACTGTTTTCTTTTTTTCTGTCTTTATGTTGAAGATCAAAATTGCATGTGGAGATTAATAGGGTTCTTATTATTGCAGGATTTAGTGCCATGTGTTCCTATCTTGTTTAAGGATGAGCATATAATCCTTTGGAGAGGAAAGTTGAATGAGCACCCTTCAGATTCACATGTCAGCAAGTAATACAAAGTTTATCTTCATTGTTATTTGCAATTACACTAAGGTACCTTTTCTTTGACTGAAGGGTTTGGTTTGGAATAAGATTTTTAGTCACATTTGTGTTCATCAAAGTCCCATGTCTGCAGGGGAAAATGCACTGATTCACGACTGAAATCCCCAAATCAACTGCAACATCTTTGTAAACCCGATGGAAAAGTAAGAAATCATGTTTTCTTTATAATAAATTATAATAATTTTTTTGAAATTGACTTTCATTTCTTATATTTTATCATTTAAATATAATTTAATCTTTATATGTACTCTGCTAATTTTCTTATAATTTACTTTTATCTTTTATTTTTATCCTTGATTTCTATAAATCTTAACTTTCATTATTAGCAGCGTATTCCGGCAAATGATTATGCTTGGCAATAAAATGTTTGTTATTTATACTAACACTAATACTCTCTTTGTTGCAATCGGTCCCCATAATACAATGGATTTTATTAAAATTAGCTTAACCAAGCTCAATGTTAACTACCTAAGCTTCATTCCTATAATATTTCTTCTCTCTCGTCTCCTTGATTAGCTCTAGTACCGGTATCTTCTTCCTCGATTAGCATTATCTTTAGATGCTTATTCTTATGCGCATAGGGTAGGGAAAGTTAAACGTACACCTTTCCTTCTTTCATGATATTCCATGCCCAATTGAAATTTGGTTTCTTCCTAGTTTTCCCCATTGCTTGTTGTATTCTCTTTTGTCCCACTGCTAAATGTGGAGGCTCTATTGCTTCCCCCAAGACTCTACTCTTTCCTGCGTTATTCTTCCTTTCCTCCTCTTCCAGTACTCCCTCTAACAAAACTATTGGTGCATTTATTTTTCAACGCATCCAGATACATCATCTGATATATATAATTATCTAAACATGTTAAACAGTGTGAAAGCATGTTAAGATCTACATAAAAAGAACGCTGGTGCTAAATATGTTTCAAAGCACTAACCTCCAACCATGAAGAATGGCATATCCTTAGTTTTTGGTTTTTCCAAGCTCTCACTTCACTGTAGATGGTGTATCAGATTTTGAGTGTGAAGCTTAGGACTTTTTATAGACATCTTGTAGGTATTCTACCTTAAAAAATGCATTTAGTAGCCATTATCACCACGATGGTCATTGAAATTTTAACCTTATGACTTCAAAATGTTTAAACCACTAAATAGGATTAATCACAGATTTATTACCTTTTAGTAATTATAAAAAACCCGTTATCATCTTTAATTTTCTATTTATATGTTGAGATCTTGTTTTCATAAAGGAAAAGAAACAAATATAGGTGAGTGTTTGTGTTAGGAACCAAGAATAGAAATGGGAAAGTAAAGAAAGACTTTGTGTCACTAACTCACTCTAACTAAAAATTCTAATTTCTAACTATACTAGCTCTTCCCTTTCCCAGCCTCAGTGTGCGTGAATAGTCTATTATTTTATGTGAAACTCATGTTTATGTTACTGCTAGCTCTGTCAAACATGAGAGTGATTAATAAGGAATGCTTAGATATGCATAAACAAGATCAATTTTCTTCCTTGTGATATATGATTGTAGGCGACGTACAGGGAGCGTATCAAATAAAAGTAACTACAAGTGCCCTGGCCTTGTTGCTAACCAGTAGGCACAATGAATTGGAAAAAATACATGTCCAAGGTCATCTGATTAAGGTATTACTGTTGTATGATTTACCTATTTGCTCTTTTTCTTCTTGCCACTCCCTACCAAGGTAATTCTTTTTTAGTATCTATGGTGCCTTTACTTATGGAGGATATCTAACCATCTCTAGAGGTTCGTTATTGGCATGTGTTCTAAGTCAAATTGTATTAAGAATTGACAAAATTGCCTATGTTTTACGGGTCAATGTCTGAACAAAAATTATGATCCTGCTACAACAGAACAGATCTAGGTATAGGCCAGAGGATCAATACTGATAGATGTTAGTTATAACTGTTCGACAGTTATAACTGACAAACAGGAGCGCAATCAAACTTATTAAAGAATATACAAGGGAAATATCTCTAACACCTCCACAAGCTCAAGGTAGGTGAGGGACTACTGGTTAATAAGCCAACTTAAGCTTGGTCCTGATAAATAAAAATATAGTTGGATAAAGGAGTATAGTTCAGGCCAGGGGTTTGCTGCACAATCAATTGCTTAAATAGACCCATTTCTCTAACATAGAAAATATCTAGTCTGGGCAAGCAAAATAGGGTTGTGGGGGAGATTCACTGCACTGAAATTATCACACTAACAGAGTGTGGTGAGGAATAGCTAGCTTAGTAAGTAATGTCTGAATGCAAAGAAGGTTAGTAGTTGTAGAAGCAAGGCTGTGATATTAAGCTGTTGTGCTTGATCTGCTGGCCACAGCAGTTTGTTTACGATCACTGAGATAGGCTAAATATGGAACAAGGTAGATGGTAGCACCAGAAATAGATTTGCGGTCATCAGAGTCAGCTTCCCAATCAACATCATAGAAGACTGTAAGATATAGTGGTTGATGAGGATCAGCTGGAGCAATCTATAAGCCACAATGTAGATTGTCCTTAACATATCTTAGGATTCTCTTTTGGCAGCAACCCAATGAGACTCAAGTGGGGAAGACACAAACTGATAGACTCTGTTCACGTAGAGATCATTACATACTGAAGCACACCAACAACTGACCTGTAGAAGGATGGATTGGGTAGTAAAACTATATCTTGGTTTGAAAATCCAGAAACTGTAGAAGAGAGTTTTTGTTTCAAGCATATTAGTTTTAGCATGGAGATCCTTGATGTACTTTGTTTTGAGTCCTGAGAAAGGAGCTATTGGACTGAGGGCAAGGGTCTAATTGGGAAATAGTCAAGATTGCTCAGTTGCTTGAGAGAACATAGGATCCAGCTCGTGAATGAGATGCTGAAATGGAGAGGAGGAGCTGCCTATGCTTTGATATGATGATATCATCCTTAGACACGAAAAAGTGTACAGTGCAGAGTTTGTGATAGTAAATAAATAAAGAAGGTTCACCTTCGCTGTCTTTAAAGCCAAATTGCATTAAAGCATTGCGTGTCTTTCAATCCAAGTCATTGGAGCTTGTAAGTTGAAAATTTTGGTTGTCTGTAAAAGGAGACTACGGGTAAGTTTAATTTTTTGGTGTTGTACAGAAACTGAGTATGTTCTCTCTTTTTGAATATCTTGCAGATAGTGGTTTCGTTGGCTGATGCATTAACTGAAATACAAGAACAAGTTTTGGTAGCTGATGATGTGGTATTTAATGCATATTGATGTGTACTCTATTTATACACTAATTAGTTAAATTACTACCTAATATATACTGTATTCAGGATAGTGACTGGGAAGAAGTTCGATCACATGGTAATGAAAATGATAGAGGATTTCTTTATTCAATGTCTTCATCTTCGGGAAAATCCACTGATGAACATCTCGAAGCAATGACAAAAGTATTTAATGAGGTTTGGTTGAGTTACAGTGGTTGTCAACTATGTTAATTTCTGTCCTATGCAATTATATCATACTTTATGCTGAAATTTATCTTGTTTTCCTAAACTTGCTTCAAAATTACAAGGATCGAGATGATCAGTATGAAGATGACCTTTTAAGTGTAGCTGATCCTCTCAATCAGGTCTGTCATCCGGAGTCTATTTTATTTATTCAATGTGATACTCTAACTTGCATATTTATTTGTTAACAATTTACAATTATGGTTGCAACTGACAGATAAATCTGGCAAATTACCTTGTTGATTTCTTTGTTAGCTTTTCTCAGTCTGACAGACAGCTCTTAGATCACATTTGCGAGGTTATCAGAGTAATATTTTTTATTTAGTTCACCTTATTGTACAGACGATTTTTACTTAACATGTGTTATGTATCTTGGCCTGCACTGCAGAGCTTGACTCGGTCTCAACGAAATGTCATTCAAATGATACTGAAGGGATGAGAATTTAGTGGGCAATCATCGAGTGTTGTCTCAAGGATGGATTGATAAAACTTCAAAGAATGAAACACAGATGGTTGGAAACCAATATTTTCCAATATTTAAGTTGGGGATGTCTGCAATTCTGAAAGGTGTTTTCCTTCTGCTGCAGTAGTGATGTTTTGCTTTTAGTTAGTCTCTGCCCATCTATAATTCACCATATCATTTGTTTGTATACCAACCTTGTTGTTTATTTAAAAAATGAAAGAAGAAACATCAGTTGGTAGCATAATGGTGCATTAGAATTTCATTTGGATTGGTTTCTTCTTGTTACTATTCCCTGTCAGAAAATTATTTCTATTTTCTGTTGGAAAATTGTTGCAGTCTAGAGTATACCCAGCATTTTAAAATCCTAAGTAGCTTTCATTAATGTGTTTTTAGAGTTCAACATCAAATGAATGAGTGATGGAATCAAATTCCTCTTGATGAACATGAGTTCATTTGCAAGAATCAATACATTCGTTGTGGTCTTAGAATAGCATAAAATAGTTTTTAGACGCACCAATTTCTCTTTACCCTCTCTATTAACACATTTATATTGTTGTCTATAAAAACTGTATTATAGGCATGGCAATAATCAATTTTGATGTACCCTATGTAAAGATTACTAGGTAAATAATTTCTATTTGACACTGCATCTTTCATGAATTACACTCATGCATCTATTTGATTATAGTATCCTAAAATCAATGTGTTACATATCAAAGTAGAAATAATAAAACCTTGTATCAATGATTGATAGGCCCTTGTAGGACCATTAATCCTAATACACCTGGTAGGACAGTGACTCTTGTTGAAACACAATCCAGATTTTCCTCTGAACCAAAGCTGAACTCACTACTTCTAATAGGACATTTATTTATGTTACAGCTGGGCACATATTTGCAATAAGAGTTGCATTTGCAATTTTTATTCTGGTTTGTATATATTTTTACTTTTTTTTCATATTTAACAATGTTAGTTGTTCATCTTAAAACATACTGAAATAAATTAAAAAAAAATAATATTATATTATAATAGTCATATTACATTTTGTTGAAAATTGGAGTATGACATTTTTATTATATTTTAATGGAAGTAAACTTCATCAATTCCGCTTATAAGTTATGCTATATTACCCCGATCAATGATTGTATATACAAAATTTGATCTAACTTAGAATTTTGTAAAAATAAAATAAAATAAAAATTATTTATTCATATATTTTTATAGAGATGGAGAGAGAAAAAGAAAAAGAAAACTAATAAGGTGTAAGTTTTATTTATAAAGAAAATTAATGATTAGATTAATAAATAATATTTATTATAAAAATATTAAAAGTAATAAAGTCAATATAGTCGCCCTATATTTAACGTTATTTAATATATTATAATATTAATTATTATGGTATGTGTGTAGTATAACAATGTATTATATCTTATAAATATAATAAATAATATATTGAATATTTGTACAAAATATGTATGCAGTGTTGATTATATTTTCCAATTATTTATGTAATTGTACTGCATACATATTACACAAAATATGTATGCAGTGTTGTTTATGCCAGTGAGCGGGTCCATTTTAAATACTATCGTAATTAAATTCGAATTCTGGGATCAATCCATCCTTGTCGCTTTTCCAGGAAAAGTCTAATTGATTGAGTGCAATTATAATCTCGATTTTGTCTGTGTGGATTTTATATTTAGATGTAAATTTTAAAATATTACTTTAAAAGTATTTATTTTTTTATATGACATAATATTATTTTTTTATAATTTATATTTTCATTTTATTTTTTTATTTATTTTTCACCTTTTTATCTTTTTAATATTTTTAATTAATCAACTTATTATATTTTTCATTTTTTTATTTTTATTTCTTTTATATTTTTATAATTTTTTAACCAATTTAATTTTTAATTTTTTAAACCAATTTAATATACATAAAATTAATTTTTCTTTTATTTTATCTTTCTTTAAATATTTTAGATCAATTTTAATAATAGTAAATATTATTTTATTTTTAATTTATTTTTATTGAGTTTTATTATATCTTATTTTTTATATTTTATTATTTCTATTTATTATATATTAAATTTTATTTAACAGAAGAAAAATTAAAAAAATGATTGTTAAAACTTTTATTATTTTGTATTAAATAAATAAAAATTAACTTATTAAATATTTTTTATTAATAAATAGTTTAAAAAATAATCAACTTATATATAATTAAATATTTGAATATAATATTATAATATTAATAATAATAAAATAAATATTTATATTTGTATAAAAAATATTAAATTTTTTATATATTTTTTTTAATTAAATATAATAAATTAAAGGTATTAGAATTTATTCTAGTAATGACAAAATATAAAAAATCCTCGTTAAATGATGGGTGTGATGAAAAATCTCTCAAAATAAAGAATGTAATGAAATATCTTCTAGATAAACATGTAAAATTCTAGTTGGATGAGAAAATGTGATGAAAAATCTTAGTAGTATAATGAAAAATCTCCCTAAAATGAGATATAATGAAATCTCACATTGAACACATTGAATAAATATATTATACCATTATAGTAAATAAGTTAGTATAATATTATTATATTTAACCGATTATGTAAAGATAACTCAAGTATTTCATAATTTTTAATATATATATATATATATATATTTATTTTTATATAAAAATAATACATAAACAAATATTAAAATTATTTTATTATAAATATAATGATTTCTTAAAAAACAATATAAAATATAAATTAGAAATTCAATGAGAAGGAGGATTAAAATTTAATTTATAAACCTAACGGAAAGAAAAAGCGGTTAAGAAATTTATGGAAGAAAAAACCCACCTCACTCCGATGGAGACCTCAAAAAGCATTGATTCATTTTCTGGGTTGCTTTCTGACGTGGAATCAATGAATAGTTTGAAATGGAATGGAATTATTAAAGTAAGAAGTTTTTATGTTTAAATAATGAAATTCTAGTTTGAAATCTGGAAAAAGAAGAAAACTAACTAAATGATTATACATAAACTAGTATTTTCTCAATTATTTGTTAGATAAGTGGTACTAATGTAAAATTCCTCTTCGAACCAAAAACATAAGCTTATAAATTATTGTTACAATGAGCGTAAAGCAGAAGCGATAAACATGATATTTGCACCATTTCCTCACTCCTCAGCGTAGCCACCATCTCTCACGGTCATCCTTTTTTACAGAACAAAACTGAAGCAGCAAAACCTCACCTCCATAATTGGTGACAGGCCCATATCTCATCACTCTGTTCTCTTGTTCTCCTTCTCCAACCCCAGAATCCACGTTTTGCTCTGAGCCAGAGCCTGAGCCTGGGACGAACTCCTCAGTTCTGCTCCAGTGTTTATGGGTGGCTCAGAATCATGAAGAGTGCAAAAGGGGCTGTAGATGATAAAATCTAAGACCCTTTTGAGATGGGTGTAAATTAAAGATAGGAAAGATAGATACTTGAGCATGTTGAAGGTTTAGGTCGTGCTTTTGCCCTGGCCAAAACTTTCAACCATGTCTCGTTGCTCCCCAACTTCAATGTCCACTAATTATGTTAAGATACATACAAATTCATGTTCGGTAAGACAGATAAATACTGTTTTCATACGGAAATACATCATCACCCCCGAAAACCAAAATCCAAATAATAAAAAATTACAAAAACAATGTTGGATAATGTAAATGTGAATTAAGTTTCACGTTAAAAAAATGAACGATGTATAAAAAAAATATGACTGGTAATCTAATATTTTAAAATTTGAATTAAGGGATAGTTTCAATCTTTTATATAAATTAAGTTTACGTGTGATTGTTTTTTCCAATCCAACAAATAATCATAACATTAATTTTAATTTAACGTACAAACTAGTATATGAGATACGAAAAATAAAAGTCAAATCAAATATATAAAAAAATATCTATAAGTAATCATTATAGAGAGTCAAATTTATAAGTAATACTTTCAAATTTAAAGAATAAAAAAAAACTTCGATAAGATATGAAAAAAAAGGTCAAATAAATACGTAAAAAATATCTAAAATAATCAGTGCATCAAAGTAATACTTTAAAATTTGATAAATAAATAAAAAAACATAAATTATAATAATGGTACGAAAGTCTTCACTAGAAATATTTTATATTGCTATTAGATATTGTTAAGATATTATTAGATATTATTAATTATAATATCTTAATAACATTTTTTGATTATTTTCAGTTATTTTATTTATTTTTTGTTACTCTTTTTTATATCTCTCTATTATAAATAAATTACCTTATTGTGGTTTATATATACAAGGGAGATTAATCTCAAATCCTATTTCCTCTATATTCAACATAGTATGCTAGAAGCTTAAGGTTATCTTGAAATTTTTTTCGCCTTTTGTCCACTCGTTGAAGTCGCCTCACCGCTACTGAGAGTCGCCCCACCACTCGTTGGTAACCGATCCTTCACATTAGAAATTTCTTTTCATGTTACTAAATGTTACTGAATTTTATTTGGTAGTATGAAAGTGCATGTCTAGGAAAATTCTAGCAAGGAAAGACTTGATATTTAAGTGTGTCCATTAGTGACCCAATTCTCTTTCCTGAGAACTTACCTGGTGTATTGGTTCATGTTGCTGTCACCGCTGTCACTGGAGCAGTCACCGAATCCGCATTATAACTTAAGTGGTCTTTCAATGACTCTTATTGTTGTTGGAATACAATAAAATTGATTTGTTGTCACAATATAACTTAAGTGGTCTTTCAATGACTTTCACAATTTGCAGTCCTGTGACAAAATTTCTCAGCTATATTCCATGATTTGATGTCTTATAGCATGCTACAAATTCTACTCCCATAGTGGATGAAGCTGTAAGGGTTTGCTTGATACTGCACCAAGAAACCGCATCACCTGCCAACATGAAAATGTAACATGAAGTGGATTTCAAATGTTCTTGACATCCTGCAAAATCTGAGTCAGAAAACCTAGCAATCTCCAACTGGTCTGACCTCCTGTATGTGAGCATATAATCTTTTGTTCTCTTTAAATATTTCATGACCCTTTTTGCTGCTTTCTAGTGGTCCATTCCTGAATTGCTTAAATATCTGTCTAAAATTCCAACTATGTATGCTATGTCTGGACGCGTACATACTTAGACATACATCAAATTTCCTACAGCTGATGCATGGAGAATCTTCTGCATTTCCTCAATTTCCAAATTCCCCTTTGGGCACTGATAAAGACTAAACTTGTCTCCCTTAGTACTTGTTTCTCTAGTGGATCTCCGTAAAGATATTGACTCATGATGCACAGGTTCTTAAGGATCTTAAGGATATTGAGTTTGTTCTTTATGAACAACCAAATCATCTTGAGTAAGGGGTTCATCAACAATGCCTTGTAGAGATTCCGAACTTACTTTATAAAAAATAACTGTTTGAATTGATTCTGGAATTGTTACCAGTTCTTCCTCCAAGACAAAGTTCCTAATCTTACTCTTCCCCCAAACTCAATATCCTCAAAGAACGTAGCGAGTTCCTCGTCTCAAAATTGTCTTTAATGTAGGATAATAAAATTTATATCCCCTGAATCTTTCAGAATAACCAATAAGTAACTATTTACTATTTGGGAGTCCAACTTCTTTTCATTTGGCTTATAAGGCCTTGCCTTAGCTGGACAACCCCACACATGGAAATGCTTCAGACTAGGCTTTCGTCCAGTACTCCATAAGCTCATAAGGTGTTTTGGTAACTGCTTTAGTTGGTACTCTATTTAGAAAATAAATTTTCATCTTTAGTGCCTCTCCCCAGAGTGATTCTGGTAAGGTAAAATGATAAATCATACTCCTTATTATATCTTTAAGAGTGGAACAAAGGCCCAAGCGCCACGATTTGATTATGACCTCGAGCACTTGTTCCATAATGCACCCGAGTGAGTATTTTCAATTTTACGTTTAGTACCCCATGATTCTCGTATTAAGGATTTCATTATAGGTGGCCACAGTATTAAATAAATACAGATTATCATAAGCAATCAAGCAAATACAGATTATCATAAGCCAAAAGTGAACCAGTTCCAACAATATTTGAATTAAAAGATAAATTGAACTTATTGTTTCCAAATGAACACAAATAACCTAATTTGTCCAAATAAGAAACTGAAACCAAATTCCGTCTAAATGACAGCACGACAAAAGTGTCCAAATACACACTAATAATCTAGAATGCCCAACTGACCTCCACCTCCACCGATTTGTCATCTCCAATGAATATTGTTAAGTGGTAAAAAATTGATATAATTATGTCTTAAATTGTTATGAAACCACTTACCTTATGTTAATTCTAATATATTTTTCTTCCAATATAGGATAAATTCGAGAATACCTTGATACAAGAGTAAGGAGCACAATTGTCGACATAATTGGAGTAAAATTAAAAGAAAGAAGAACGCTTAAGCGAATGAATGATGCGAGGTCCGACCCAAATTCTCTTATAAAAAGATAAGTTGTGTTTTGAGAAAAGCAAGTAGTCTTATAAGAGAGGAGGCACGACTACTATTAGAGTTTTGTCTAATCTTCATCAATTCTTCACTTCTTCATCAATTGGAGCGTTGTAATGGCCAACATGAGTGGCTAACTTCATTCTCTTAGGATTCGGTGCACTTCCTTTGAACTCTTTTGTATCATGGTGATATTTTGAGATCTTAATCTATGCTTTGATGTTGTTATTCTTATCCTTTATGCTTTGAAATGATTTATTCTTGATTGTTTGAGGTATGATTGGAAAATATATCTTGAACCCTAGATCACGGTAAGAATATTTGTTACGTTAATTACCAGGAATTGAATGAATGTATCAATTGCTTAACACCCTAACCCTAATGCTAGAAAATTTGTTAATTGTGTGAGGAATCAACATTTATTAGGTTTTCTTATGAATTTTATGTGTGAGGAATCAACATGGATGATTTGAGTAGGTGGCATCAACATTGTTAGGTTAATTGACGTTCTTAATTGACATAGTCATTACAAAAGAGGGATAAGGAAGGAAATCAATCCTAAGTACCTTTAATTGATATTTTCTCATCAATTTACAGTTCTTTGTCATTTAATTTCAATTCAAATCTTATTTGCAAAACCCAATCTGTTTTAATCTATTTAGTAAGCATAATTGGAAATTTCCATTGAAACCGTTCCTCGTGAGATCGACTTTTATTTAATCGAAATACTATACTGCGATTGATAATTTTAGTACGCTTGTCAATAATTCAACAAATATCAATCTCTTAGAATCGGTTATCTTCAGGTAGTTTAGACAATCCTTTCTTTTCACGCCAAGCATAATATTTAACACATTTCTTCTTTACGTGTCAGGTCTTATTGCAAAAGAAACATTTGTTTTCCGAGTTTGTTTCTTTTGTTCGGACCCTTAACAACTTCCTTCTCGAGATCCTCCGATTTCTTTCTTTTGCCCTTAGCCTTGGAGGTGCTTGCAAAATGAGCACTTTCTGTCTTGTCTTGCTTTAGTCTTTCCTCTTCTTGTACGCAATGTGAAATGAGTTCATTAAGAGACCATTTATCCTTCGACGAGTTGTAGGATACCTTAAATTGATTAAATATTGTGGGAAGAGAAATCAACACTAAATGAATGAGAAAGTCTTCTAAGAGTTCAAGCTTTAGTGCCTTGAGTTTAAAAACAATATTAGACATCATAATGTACTCCCGATATTTTCTTTGCCCTAATATTTTATGGAGATCAAGTTCGAAGAAGAGTGTTTGCCTCCATCTTATCGCTTTTGCAAAGCGTTGTTCAATATCAACAAGGAATTCTTTGGCACTTGTGATATTTTCGAAAGCAGATGCTCCTAAACACCTCGAGATGCACGTTTAATGATCATTACGCTCATGTGATTTGTGCGATCTCACTTCTCATAATCTCTCTTTTATTCAGAGGTACTAGAATATGTAAGAGTAGGGGAGTAGGGGTTGCTTAGTCCTTAACGCAATATCTATATCCATGAAGCAAGAATAATATCAATGTTTTATTTCCAGTCCTTAAAATTTGTCCCATTGAGGATCAGAACAAAATTTAAATTGGCAGATACAGAAGCAATTGTAACTGGATTAGAACAAAAGATATAAACTAATTATGCTCACATTATAAAAATAATTAATTATAAATATTTAAATAATAGTTTAACTCATCTCAAGACACCGATGCACCATTAATATCAAGTCTTTGAACAAGTAATATTAACTGCTAGGGGTATCTCGTTAGTAGTGATCAAACATTGACGATAAAGTCGTCTAACAACAAACCAATATTTGAATTGATTTATCATCGACAAAACAAATTCTTATAATTATCACATATTTATCATTACAAGTGTGTATGCAATCCGATCAAATATTAATCTTCCTTTAAATTGATTAATACTCGCATGAATATACATAAATACTAATATTCAATATTTTTCAGTGAACTATCCAATTCAATAAAGATTACTTTGATGACTTCTGACTCAATTTGATCACAAAAAATATTAAACTACCAAAAAATTTAATATTTTATTTATATAACAAAACCAACTATTTATAATTCTAATGAACAAAAATTTGCAAGGGTCTTAGTTTAATGCACGAGTGCAAACCCGTGATCAAATTTCTAACCCCGGCCTTATCCAATTGCGCAAGTTCAGCCTTCAATTGTTCAATCTTGAGACCCGTGACCTTTGCAAAACCCCTCTTTCTTTCTCTGGCAACTTGGCCAATAATTCCTTCATATCTTATAATCCATGGGTTTTTCCAATGTTTTATAGTGTAAAGCATCGATCAGTAGTCGACACAGAAAGTTGCCACCCAACTAAGTAACATGAAATGTAAATGATTTGCTGTTGGAAGAAACGACCTCAGGTCCATAAGCTTCAACAAAAGCAGTGATGATTTCATTCTTTCTAGCGCTAGCTATAAGCAAATCATACTCTGTGGGAATCATAACCACAAGAAAGTTGTCACTTAGTTCACTGACACAAATCTTCTCAATAGCTGCAAGGGTTGTCCTTCGTTTAAGGGAATCAGACTCAGGTTCAATGAGGTAAATCGCAAAATCCGTAATCATTAGATATCAGTGTTTCATCTTCCCAGAACCAGTGAACTTCAAAACTTTATCTACAAATAAAACGTTCAGGCACATGAACAGCGTGTTTCTTGCCCTCCGCGAACTCATAAAGATTGTTGGTGGAAGACCTTCATCTTGGGCGGTTGCCGACGACAGGCGTGGATCCACCTCTTGCTCTCTTGCTGCTCTTCATTATTTTTATTTTTATTTTTTATTTTTGTTCGGACTTGTGTGATCAGCTACCAGAAACAAATTGCGAAATTTTACCGCAAAATTCAAAATTAGGTTTAAAAATTTAGAATTTACCCCTAAATTTAAATTTAGGATTTAAAAAAAATGAAGATTATTCTCTATCTAGGATTCTGAATTTTATTACATATAATTTCTAAAGATAAATATGAATCAAGTATTCTAATAACATTATTGGATTCTGAATTTTATTACATATAATTTCTAAAGATAAATATGAATCAAGTATTCTAATAACATTATTGGAAAACTATAATTATGATCTATATTTTTTTGTAATAGTCAAACATAAACATTATTTCATATTTATAGTCATATTGTAAATTGAATGCGAAAACATATCTCGAATTAGTCATAATGATGATGTTTTTTTGAAGCACTATTAATCTTTTTGGTCTTCCTCATGAAGAAGATTTGTATTTCATTTTGGATTTTCTCTCGATAGGGATAGAAAAAAGCGAAATTGAGACTTACATTACTGTATGTGCTCTCAAAAGGGGATCATGACCTTTTAGATAACCGGAATTAGGTTAATTACTTAAGTTTTAGTATTTCTAATTTTGCCCTTCATCAAATTAGAAATTACTCTATGGTCTCTACTACAATTTTATTTTCATGACATATACTTTTAGCAAAAACTTTAATTTAGTCAAATCACTTTATTATTTGACTTAATAAATAATGACCCTAACACATTTAAATTATGTATCATATATATACATGACCCAAAATTGCCAACAATGCCTAGTTGGAGTATCAATTTTGATATGGTTAGGTGATTGGTTATAGTTACGTGACATATTTGTCACGTCACATTAAAATTGCAAGAAAAAAGGAATAGGGGTCGCGGATGTGTTTAGGATTTGGACAATTGAGAGTTTGTGCAAATGGGTGAGGGAAAGTGAGAGGATCTGCAACGATAGGGAAATGACTTCTGCTTCCAAATAGCAATTCGAAGTACCGTGAGCTAACCACATTGACAACTTGGAAAATGGCTTCTGCTTCCAAACGATGCCTTGCTTGAAATGGTGGTTGACGACATCTTCCTTCAAAGATCAATTACACAACCTACAACCTAAATATCAACTACAATAAATCAAAGATAAATATAGAAAAATGTATAAAGGGACAAAATGGAATCAACTCGCACTCTCGTTGTTGTAGTGGCAAACCCAAAATGGAATCACGCTCCTCCTCCTTCGTCACAAATGAAACTCGTACCTCTACGACAACATTGCAGTATACTCACGCTTTTCCTAACCCATTTGCACACACTCTCAATTGTTCATACCCTAAACATATCACGACCACTATTCATTTCTTCTTGCAATTTTAATGTGACGTGATAAATCTGCTACGTAACTATAATCAATCATCTAACCATATCGGAACCGATACTCCAACTGGACATCTAATATAACAGATCAAAACATAAATAACGATAATTCAAAATTGACATCAATTTCAATATTTATGTCTAAATTGAAAATTTTAAAATTTTTGGGACCACATTAAAATATTTTAATAAATAAAAGGACTAAATTACCTATTTAACCTATATTAAATAACCATATAAAGTTTTCCTAACTCAATTGAAATTCCTATCTAATTTAATAAGCAACATAAAAATAATAAATGGGTCAATTTTATCTCATATTACTATCTTGAATTACTTTTTATCTATTTCCAAACACGATGACAAAAACTTTTTTTTTTTAATGTGATTATGATTTCTTTTGCAACTAGTGTTTTTTTTTAAATAAATAATGTAATTAAGCATGTCTTTAGGTCTGTTAGTTTTTTTTAACTATATCAAGAATGTTATATTATATTTTCAATTTATTCTTTTTAAGTAAAATTGTGTCCAATGGTTGAATTGTTAATTTGTTCATTTAAAGTGCATGCATATTTCAGTTTAATCTTAAAATTTAAATAAATTAAAATAAAGTCTTTAAAGATAATTTTTTTTATTTCTTGAAATTTTTTTGTGTAAATTTTTACCAAAGTATAATTTAATCCTTTTAGTCATAAAGGAATCAATTTAAAATAAAAAATAAATTTTACTTCAACTGATTATTTATCTATTAAACACTAACTAAAAAAATACCATTCAACCAATAATTTTGGATAACTTTGTTAAAAAATAAAATAAAATCATGCATTAATTTATTAATTTTTTATTTAGAAATATCTTTACTCTATTGAAAAACCAAATAATGTAATTATCTTTTCATGGGTTAACCCTGACAAATGAACAAATATACATAATGTAGTCTAATGCTCATGAAAGTAACATGCAACTTCTGATTTAAAATTAAATAAATAATATGTAAATTTGTTTAAAAAAATTTACCTTAGCTAGAGTTATGTTGCATAACACTTTTATACAAAGTTATAATTGAAGTTGTATTACCTAAACCAATTTTATTTTTTAAAAAAACTATAAGCTAAAAGAAAAATACTACGAGTTACTGATTTTTTAATTTTTTTTTTTGAAAAAAGAAAACAAACATAAAGTTGTATTTGACTGTATGATTTATTTAAATAAATAAAAAAATGTCCGGAGGTATAAAAAAAGTGTACTAAGATAATCCCATCATTTAAAAGTGGAGTTTGTAATCATTTTAGTAGTGGTAACTCATTTATACGTTTTTGTCAAAATATTTCTGTCCAAAACTTTGGTTGTTAAAGTGTGCTCGATGTCCATTATTAGGTTAACTGTGATCCGTGCAAAACAATATTGCCCACTCAATTCGTATCTTATCCTCTTCTGTTCTATCTCAATCAATATCAGTGAATATTTTTAAATATTTCTGTTCAATTTATAATATTTTAATATTATGAATTCACTTTTTTTTTTCAAAATTCACTTTTAAAAGTTAAATGTGATAGGAAGTTATTTACTTTTTGTCAACATTCTTCCTTAATCTCAAAATGTATTATTAAGGTTTGATTTGCTATTTTAAATCCTTACTCTCTCATATTTTGATAATGTAGTATGTTATAGAAAAAAAAGATTTATGATGAAAATATGGAGTATCTATGATATTTATAAAGTTATGTTCATCATAGAGTTTTAGAACCGTGAAAAATAAATGGGAAAAAATTTCACATAATTATTTTGATAACGAGTGCAAATATATATTCTAGTTGTGTAGATTTAGTTATTAGGTGGGTTATCTGTTATTTTATTGGGTAAATTATTATACTCGCGTCCCTAAAAAATAGAAATTATGGTTATTATTCTCCTACTTGATCCATTTTTTTAATTAACCATCTCAACAAGAAACTAAATATATAAATAATGATGATGAGTCCTCTAACAATAATGATCATCTCCTATGTATTACAATATATTAAGTTTCTCATCAATGACTCTTAATTATAATGAAAAAATCATATACTTATTTTTCGTCAAATTAAATAAAATTCCTCAAAATAAATATATATGTGCACAATAGATAAATAAAAACATTAAAATGAAAAAGAGTTTTATCATAGTAAAATAAATTACTGCCACAACATGTAATTAAGTCTAATTTATGTTATATGATCCTTAAAATTTTTTGGTAGCATGTCTTTAGTCAAAAGAATGAATAATCATCAACTCAGTATTAACATGATCAATGATAAATTTCTTTTTCTTACTAATTATGACTAGATATTTAATATTGATGTGCTTATTTTGACTTCTACTTTATTATTCTTACCCATAAATATCGTAACAAAGTAATCACAATATAACTTTAATGACTTAACAATTAAATTTACCCATATACACTATATGATGTAGTCTCAAAACAAGACACGAATTTAGCCTCCATGGTAAAAGTGACACTCAATGTCTACTTTTTACTATTCCAAGATATAACTAATTACCTTTTTTTCAACTTTTCAATGGTAAACAATTAGATTACTCTAATATCTTTCCAAAATGTAATGTTAGGTTTTGTGCAAACCTAAGCATACATAAGACTTCCAATAACTGAAGCATATGAAAATTTTTTATCTATTCCCGCTCAAGATCATTTTTCAGTGTATTGAACCAATTCAAGTTCATTACCCTTCGTTTGTAATGAGACCTACACTCGAGTGAACAATTTTTTCATGTTAAGCCTCTTTAAAACTGTGTTAATATAGGTATCTTGAGATAAACCGACAATACCGAGAGATTTTTCTCTATGGATCTTAATGCCTATGACATAATAAGATATTTCACCCATATCTTTCATATCAAAATTCTTTGAAAGAAATTATTTCATCTCATGTAACATTCCCTTATCATTAGTTATAAACAAAACATCATCCACATATAAAACAAAAAAAACAAATCTTTCTCCCACTAACCTTCTAATATATACATTGATCCATAATATTCTCTTCAATTCCAAATAAAGAGATAACTTAATGAAATTTTAAATATCATTGGCATGAAGTTTTTTTTAATCTATATATGGATTTATTAAGCTTACAAACTAAGTGTTCGCTATCACTAGAGAAGATTCATTCAAGTTGTTTCATGTAGACCTCTTCCTCTAGATTTCCATTAAGGAAAGTCTTTTATACATCTATTTGATATAACTCAATCAAAATGAGCTACTAATATTGTAATTTTTCGTAAAGAATCCTTTTTAGACACAAGAGAAAATATCTCTTTGTAATGTATTCATTATCTTTGAGTGAATCCTTTAGCAACAAATCTTGTTTTATGTCTCTCAATGTTACCTTGTGAGTCTTTCTTAATTTAAAAG